GGGGGGGGGGGGGGGGGCAATTAAATGCTAATTTAGGTGTTGTTTGCTACCAGTGATACATATGCTGTTTGCCCAACTATGCACATCCACTCGCAATAGTAAATTAAGCATTTCCTGTGACAGCGGAGAATATATACCTCTATGTTAATATACTAAGAGAAAAACATAAGTTTTAAAATTAAAGTTTCCAAATATAGAAATATGTCATTCTTTTTTGGAATAAGACTAAAAAGGAAAGAATGTCATATAAAATACTAGAACACAGAGTATTAACCCATTTTCTTAGACTAAATATTTTTTCCCCTACATACAAACATATTCATCCATGTGTGTTGTTAACGATAATAAAATTGCTTTACCAACTATATATTCTTATTGTTTAGTAGAGAACTTTCTAAGACAACCCATGGCTGCTGAACATGCCTTAGCGCCTCGGTGTATACACTGAAATGTCACCTAAGAGAAGCACAACGCCAGTTTGCACTGCAACTAGATTTAGAGCTTAAGCGAATTTCAAGCACACCTTTAACAACACTGATGTCAAGGCATTAATAGAAGAGAAAGCTGGCATTTACTAGAGCAAGTATTGTCATGGTATATGTCATTGCATTAACGGTGTTCTGAGCTTGACATAACTCACAGTAAGGGTGTAGTCACTCTCAGTTGATGAGACTAAATCTATAATATTTTGTAAAAGAGACTTACAGGAGCTTTGCGTTTTTCATCCAAAGAGCCCTCCTAAGGCGCTTTGACTGTTTCCTGAAATGAAATGCACTGTCTTGCATCGTTGCTGTTTTGTCAACAAGGAGCTCAATCCGATCCCCTCTTTCAAGTATTTTCTCAATATTATCAACCATGATGGTGCGTATCTGGATGTACATTTAAGTAGTTTATTTTACTTTTAGAATAGTTGCACTACATGAAAGGAAGGGCTGGGGGAAGAGAAGGGGGATGTGGGAAGGAGGAGGCAGCAGTGGCATATCACGATGTAAATACACTATAAAATTCTTCAGCCAAAAGGGGAACAGAACACATGTAAATGACGCAATACAACCATAATCATATACTAACTAATGCTATAAGGTGTAATATTTCTTTCCTTTTTCTACAGAAACTTCTGTTGTTAGATAAACTGTCGCATTTTTTAGTTAATACAGCAAAAATCAAGTGGTCATAAATGGTATGCAGTTCACAATAGTAGGTGATTGTTTGGCTTAGCATGAGACATTAGGATCACTAATTGCTTCTTGACTTTTATGAAATGGAGCTACAAGATCATAACTTGAACCGAAGGCATTCAGACATCAAAGTAACTAGACAAGGAAAGGAGTAGTTATTTTGGCATGACTGAGCATTGAAAAATCATCACTAATGATTGAGAGTTTAACACTTCAATCATTTCTAAAAAAGAAGAGAGTTTAGCACTTCAAAAAATATGTTAACTCATTTAAGTGCCCATGAATATGAATCTTTGATAATCCAAAAAAAAGTTGGATATCTGGACAGTTAATGCATGCATTCATTGGCACAAAACCTAAAGCACAAATAAGAACAAATGAAGCTGACACACAGAACCCTTAAACTTCACTACACTCTGGTGCAGGTAAACAGAAAAGATACTTGCCTCACCAACTTCTCCTCTGACACGATTTAGTGTATCTGCACTTGGATTACTTGAAAAGAACTCCATTTGCTGATGTAAGACCCTTGAGAATTCATCATTCATGGCATAGGCAGGAGCATAAGAAGCCACCTTGCCGTAGTTCTTCATGAACCTCATCTGAATATCCTCCAGGTATGAGAAAGGAATCCTCCCTAAGTAAAGCATGTACCATTAGTAACAGACAGTGAAGGATGACTCATATGACTAACATAATTTTCAATTAGCAAAAGATCCAGACAATATCAATTCATAAATTCTTCAATGCCAACATATTTCTGTCTTGAAGTGTTAAAAGATAGCACTAGGAAAGTAAGAAGGTCATTGTGAAATTTGCAAAATAGAAATAGGATGATCAAGTGTGCATTTTGGCCCAATCAGAATATGAGAAGTCGACTAATTAGCTTCTATTTGGCATTGACGCCATAAAACTTGGTCTTTTCTGACATCCAACTACCAAGAGCACCAAAACCAAACACTCACAAAAGCATTGAAAACCTAAACCTATCTCCATTATGTTATTTTTCTTTTTATGATGGTCGTATCAGGGCTAGTTTGCGCACACCTCGACTATTCCAAGAAATCACCTAGTGTTTTTTGCCTCTGCTAGGATTTAATCCCAAGACCTCATGGTTCACCTCTCATTTCATTGACCATTAGGTCACACCCTTGGGTGCCTATCTCCATTCCGTTATTCATAGTTCAATTCTTCCGAGCTGATGTTTAAAGGTAAAAGACCGAACGGGAGAACAAGTTTTATTGTGTTCTTAGCTCTATAGTTCAGATTAACTTTACAATTGGAGTAGTAAATTGATCAAAACGGAAGCTTTAAGAAAAATTTAGAAAAGAGAGGGAATTTTATACTGACTTCCGAAGGTGTCGTTGGCCATACAAAGGAAGCTGAGTCCGTCAGATCGGAGTATGTGGAAGATGTATCGATCTTGAGAGAAACAAAGCCTCGATTCCGTTTCACCTGGAAGCTTCTCCAATATTCTTCGCGCCACCGCCCCTGAGTTCCCTGTCACCGCACTGAACTCCGCCAGCACCGTTGTGCCTCTCGCCACAACCGCATACAGTATCGCCATTTTTCTATCTCTTTCTCTGCTTCAAATGGAGCTGTTGAGTTGACTACAGTAAAAATTGGGGATACGTATCGAATTAGAGAAATATTCCAAGGAGTTCTGCGGTAATGAAGAATCGGGACTGATTGGGCTATACCGGAAAGTCTACGGAGGTTTTGGTGTCGGGTCACAAGATTTCACGGAAATCAGAACTACCTGTCCTCTTATTTTCTATCTATACACTTTACACCCCTTGAGTTTGTTAGTTATCACATTGACCTCTTCCTCTTCCCCTTCCCCTTTACTAAACATTGGACTTCCACCTTCTTCAGCTAAGCACCTCACTACGGATAAAAAATACAAGTATTCGTATGTATTATTTACTAAAAAATAAGTTAGATAATCAATTTTTTAGAATTGAGTCAAATATAGATATTATTCATATTATCTGCTTTAAAAATGAATAAATTATCGGTAAAAGTGGATAAAATCCTCAACCAATTAAACTCATCTAGCATTAAGGAGGACGAGCGAATGCCATTCTTTCCGACTTGTATATAATTTGTTTTTAAGTTTTGCTATGAGAACTTAGTGAAAATCAACTACTAATATTTTATTTTGTTTAAAGTTCAGTTGCAAAAGTGATACTCCTTTCTTTCCAATTTATGTGACACTCTCAGTCCCAATAAAAAATGATATTTTTTTTAATTAGTAGTAACAATTTAACTTCAAAACACTCATTTTATCCTTAACAAAATAATTTATAGCCATGAAATATCTATAGCTCATTTTAAATCACATTTCAAAAGTTTACTTTTATTTCATAAACCCGCACTCTATGAAACACCGTCATATATTCACTTGTATTTCCCAACTGTAGTTAGGAACATAATACATGCTGATATAAGACTCAGGAAAATCTAGTTCTTTCTGTCTATAAATGATACGTATTGAATGAGGTGAGACACTATCTTTGAGTAACTACAGATTTTTGACTAACATAATACATGCTGACTTAAGCATGGAATTGACTTAAGCTGGAGATGGCAGGAAAGTATCAAATTGAAGCTAAACAAGGTCGCATCATTATTTTTTATGGATAATATGACGAAAAAATATACTATATAGCCGCTTTCAAAATAATACCCGAATATATATATATATATATATATATATATATATATATATATATATATATATATATATAGTTCTCAAAATGATACCCGAAAATATATATATTTTCTGTATATTTTTTATGGATACATTCTGTATGTTATATACAAAAATTATCTAAATTTTATACACCTTTTCAGCTACCAAATATAAATAGTTTCTGACGCGCGCTAAAAGTGATAATACCCTAATGTGAATACCTGAAAACAGTCTCTCTACCTTTTTAAGGTTGGAGGAAGGCTGCATACACACTAGCCTTCCCAGACTCCACTTGTAAAATTACACTGAGTTTGTTGTTGTAATTAATATGGATAATCATATTATTCGTTGTTCAACTTACTTATTTATCCGTATCAAATTTGAGCAGATCATATATTTTATTCATTTTTATCTAATTTATTTTCGACTACGCACTCCTGATTGCTACTCCTGTTGGTATCCGCATTAGGTCCAGACTAATTGAAATTTGAGTATTGTAGCTCCCTGGAAAAAAAAGTTTCGAAATGTTATAAGGCAATTAAGAGGTCCAACGTGTGCCAATTATATTAATTTATATGCGTGTGTCAATTAATAATGAACACGATAACAAGTGTACAAGGTATATTTGAAGTGATATAGGGCCTAAGGAGAGCCCTTGGGACAAGTCAGAGTTGGAAATTACATGATAGACTAAAGTTTCAAATAAGCACGCATAAGACCTAATTTTAGACGATAATATCTAGATATATATAAGGATTTATGTGATGAACAACCTATCAAATGAAAGCTCTTCGAGTCTAGTTTTCTTACGCTTCAGACTGTTCCTCATTTGGACATTCCTAGAAGAAGTTATGATCAAATCACAAAAGGCTGGCAGTAAAGTACTGCTATAGCGTCCGGGTCCGTATCCGGGCTTGGAGGAGGAGTGAACTGGGGATACGAAGCTCCCGGGCAGTGTCCGAAATCCAGAAATTTGGGCCTATAACTACAAGGTCGGGGAGAGAGACTATTTTGAGCTTTTGGGGTTAGCGTTCTTGAGGTCAAGAGGCAATTTTAAGCTCAAATCAAGTCCAACCAACTAAGGTAAGTTGTTAATGATATTTTGGGTTGATTCTTACTCAGTATACATGAGTTCTAATATCATTCTTACAAACAAATACTAGAATTCTTCATCAAATATTCAGGAACACAAAAATCATCAAAGTTGTGATTTTTCAAGATTGGTCTATAATACGTAATTCTAATGCTTCAAACTCGTTTATTATGAGTAATTAGAAGTATTAGTAGCATTTGTTACAAGTATTAATGGTTGAAAGATTGGATTATAAAACTCTAGTTCATGGCATGAATAATACTTTTGAGAAAATGAGAGAGAATGAATAGTATTCTTGGAAATGAAATTGTACGATGAACCTATGGAGTTATTTGTTAGCAGAAGTTGGAAGTGATCAACTAACTAATCACCCGAATTGTATGTGTTTGCAATTGTTGATTAAGGGAGATGATGAATAATAACTTGGTGGCATTGGACAATTGATGTAGTATCATTAACAATTTCAAATGAGTATTAAATTATAAGAATGAAGTTAAATATGCTAGCATGTGAATCTATTGAGCGATTTGAGTTGTTGTAGGTTGTAGCCGACTTATGAGCCATAAATGGATATTGATCAATATTTTAGGTTATATTTTGATGTAATTAGAATATTTAATTGTAGATATCGACTTGTTGGTGATGTTTGAGCATTTTAATCAACAATGGAACAATGGAAGATAATTGAAAGCTTGTGAATGTTAATAAAGCGAAAGCGAGGTAAGTTTATTAAAACTTACTCTTCTTGAGGGATTTCTCTAAAAGCATGTTTCGAATTAATGCTTAATGTAACGACCCGATCGGTCGTTTTCTTTCTAGAACCCCGTTCCCCTAAATATGACTCCCCATAGGTACTTTTACTATTTTATGACTTTCGGGGATGGTTAGTTTGAGATTTGGAAGAGTTTGGGTTGAAATCGGAACATTTGGTTCCTTAAGGTTGGCTAAAAAGACTAAGTTTGACTTCGGTCAACATTTTGAACAAACGACTTTGGAATCAGGATTTGATGGTTTCAATAGGTTTGTATGATGATGTCAGACTTGAGCGTATGTTCGGCTCGGGTTTTGGATGACCCGGGAGCGTTTCGGCGCCTAATAGTGAAAGTTGGTTCTTTGAAGGTTTTGAAGTTCTTGAAATTTGGTGTAGAGTAGGTTTTGGTGATATCCAGGTCCAAATGGGATTCCGAGACGGGAATAGTTTCGTAATGTCATTTAAGACTTGCACGCAAAATTTGGTGTCATTCTGAGTAGTTTAAGTACATTTCAGCGCGTTGGGAGTAAATTGAAGAACTTAAAGTTCATATTTTTGATTCAATTGGTTTAGGGTGTGATTCTTAGTTTTGATGTTGTTTTGGGCGTTCCGAGAGTTTGAGTGAGTCCGTTTTATTATTGCAAACTTGTTGGTGTGTTCAGGCGGGGCCTCGGCGGCCCAGGTGTTAATCGGACAAGGCTCAGACCAAGTTGGAACTTGGGAGCAAGAGCTGAAGCTCCTAGCTGCTGGTGTAATCGCACCTGCGCTTGGCCAGCTGCAAGTGCGAGCTTGCAGGTGCAAGCCACGAGCCGCAAAAGCGGACAAGACAAGGCTACCCAGGATCCACAGGAGCGAGGGATTTAGCGCACCTGCGAACGCGCAGGTGCGATGGCTGTGACCGCAGAAGCGGCAGTGCCCGCAGGCGCGGGAGAAACGATCATAGCAGCGGTTGTGCAGGAGCGGCCCCAGCTCCGCAGGTGCGAATATTGGCCAGTTGGGGGAGGACCACACCTGTTTTCTCCGTAGAAGCGAAACCGCAGATGCGGCAGTGGCTTCGCAGGAGCGGGAAAATGCTGGGCAGTGAGGTTATTTTAAATCGGGACTTAGTCACTTTTGACTCATTTATTCCATTGTTGGGCGATTCTTGGAGATCTTAGAGAGGGGATTTCATCTAACACTTTGAGGTAAGTAATTTCTACCAATTTTGGGTTAAATATATAGTTTATGGGTAGATTATAACATGTAAATTAGTGGAAATCATGAGTTTAGGTGAAAACCTAGGGTTTTGATAAAAATAGGATTTAACCATGAAATTTGTTATGGAACTTAGTAAAAATCATATATTTGAGTTCATGAGGTTATGGGTAACAACTTTCTTCGAAAATTTTCGGAATCCTGGCACGTGGGCCCGGGGGTAAATTTTTGGGATTCTTCAAATAGGATTGGGAAATCACTTTGACAGTAAGGATACGAACTTTTGACCATGTATTGACTATTTTATATAACATTTGACTAGTTTCGAGTTGTCTGGCACCGAATTGAGGGTTTGAGCACAATCTTGGACCGGAAACTAGGCTTTGTGACGAGGTAAGTCTCTTTTCTAACCTTGTAAGAGGGAATTAACCCCATAGGTGAACTTAATTAATATGTGCTTTTATTGTGGGGGATATGTACGCACGAGGTGACGAGAGTCCGTGCGTAGCTACTATTTATGCTTATGTCCGGTTAGTTTTAGGATTACGCCATGCTTTGTTGACACCATTATTTGGTTATGCTTATTTATTGCCTTGATTAGAGTCGAGGTTGAGGATTTAAAGATTTATAAAAATTACTAGTTGAATTTCTTGTTTGGAAAGAATTGAGGGATATTATGATAACTTGAGAAATCTATGTTCAACTGCGTCGCAAGTATATTCTGCGACCGGGGTAAATTTCCACTACTCTCATGGGAGCGGGCCATTTGCTTCGGCAGATTAATAGATGCATATATGGTTCGTGCCGTTCGACCCTCGGTAGTGCACACGGTATATTTTTATGTATATTTGGATCGGGCCGTACGTCCTCGGTATGATTCATGCGTAATAATACTGGAACCCTTATTATATTTGATATTGTTTTCATTGGCTTGGGAGGTTAAATGGTTAAATGAGGAAAATGATTTGGTACTTACTAATGGTGAAAGAATTATTTATTTATTTCTTACTCCGAGTTCTATTGTCATTTATATATATCATTTTTAATTGAAATTTCATATATTATATTATTGGCCCATA